GGCGGGGTGGGGCGGGGCGGGGCGGACCGCGAGGAGATCGGGCTGTCCCCAATTGACCACGATACGAAATTCGGCAGCCGTAAGCGGCGCGTCGCGACCGGTTTAAACTAGACACACTAACGACTTTCGCAAATCTCATCAATAAACGTTGTTGCAAAGTCGTTCGCACATCATAGTCGTCGCCTGCTCGGACGTCATAGAAGCAACTTGTTTCTTTCTCTCCCTTTTTCTAATTTTTTTCTTACTTTTTCACGTCACGCCACTCGCTTTCGCACAGAGGGCGAGCCGGGCCCCGGACCGGCGACATACCGACCCCCCGTGGACGCGCATGGTCACGCCGTCGAGGGCTTGCGGGCGGGGAACGTGATCAATTTCTTCAAAAAAATTCCAGCGAAAAGAACTGAGAAGAGAGGAGCGAATATTCCTTTACTTGCTATCTGTGCGAGATCGCCTCCCGTTGCGAGCGGCGAGGGTGGCTCCCCCTCATTCCTGCTGGGCGGGTTCATCAGGCACCACCACCACCACCCCACCGGTCTTCAACCCACGCCGACACGCAACAATAAATACACAATACTATGTGGCTGGAAAAAATACATTTCGCATAGTTAGTGTTAAAAATTTCCAAAATTTCCTGCAAATTCCGGGAAAATAACGGCAAACTTTCAAAGTCTAGAAATTTTTAAATTTTTTCCCCGAAAATTTTCCGGAACTTTCCAGGGCTCCCAACCCTATTCACAATATTCAGTGGTATGCGACGCGGGTACGGACGGGGTTGTACTTACTGTCGTTCTGAGCCGCGAGACGCGATACCGCACACTAACTGCGGCTTCCGTATAGCGTAGTGCTCCTCCAGCATGCCCCGCGTACAACGACCTGCTCGGAGCTCCACCCGCCCAGCAGCGCCCTCCGTCCAGAGCCTCTCCGACAGCCGTGGACAGACCGCAAACTCCGGCTCCCTCCAACCAGGGCCGGGACAGAGGTACAGAGCAGCAGAGAGCGGGTGGGCGTCGTGAGAGAAAAGCGGTGCGCGCAAAGTCTGCCAAAGGGTCAAGAATCCGGCCCAGAAAACACTACGGCTCGACGCGCGTAGGAGAGCGGTTTAAGGGATGTTACAGCGAGGAAGGGGAAGGGAAGGACGGCTAGGGCGGACGCAGGGAGAGTGACAGGGAGATGAGCTGGGGGGGGGGGGGCAAGCAGGATGAAAAGGTGTCGGTATGACGTCATTATCGCGGCCCCTAGCCCGACGTGGCTGCCCCGCCCCGCCCTGCCCCGCCCCGCCCCGCCGCGGCCCGCCTTCGACAGTAATTGGCGACCACCACGACCGTACGCGCCGGCCACACACACACCCCGCTGCGGCGCAGCGCCCCACCACCATGCAGCAGCCAGCAGCGCGTGTCGAGTATTTTATATTTATTACCAATTTCAAAAACCAAACAAGTCCGGGTCGGGATACTGAAGCATCATTTCCGTCCCGTCGGGGCGGGAGTATGCGCGAGTATGCAGCGGAGCGGGACAAGTGATTGCCCCTCATGAACGTTACAGAAAATAATTATTTACTTCAACTTGCGAAAAAAAATGTCCGCGCGAGTCCAGAAAAAAAATTTCGCCTGAAGAATTATAAAATTAATTGAACAGGATAGAAGTGACAATGGTAGACAGACGTTTGCAAATTGTAGAAAGTGTCGTATGAGTAAAAATAACGTCACTTTTTTAAAATAAAAAATAAAAATTTAGTGATACGTTTTAGCAGTGCGTCACGCAAATGAGTAGAGGCTCCAAACCGATGCGTTTCGTAGCTAGAACCTGCCGTCTCACTCTCTCTGCCCGTATCCTCGGCAGGAGGGCGGGGCGGGGCGGGGCGGCGCAGACAGCGAGAGTAAGGAAAGGGAACTAGTTCCTCCGCGGCGCGCGCCCGTCCGCCCGGCAGCGGTGTGGGTCCGCCGGTTCCGACCGACCCACCAACAGTTCGCAAATGCGGGTGGGCGCCACACCAGACTACACCACGCCTCGCCCCGCCCCACCCCGCCCCGCCCCGCCCCGCCAAGCAGTGCCCTGCCCTGCTCGGCCACGTCGCGCAACTGGTGCGGCAACACAAAATTATTCGCACGTCACTGATAAGGGCCGGACGTCCTTCCAACAGCAGAAAAAAAATGTTTTCGAAACAAGGACGGTGGTGTATTGATCAATTCTGCGTGGGTTTGGGAGAGGGGGAAAGGGCAAATACAAGCCGACGAGTTCGCGAGGTTGGTCAGTTTGAATTGGAATCATTATAAATAGAGGAAATGTAATAAACCCAAAGCATGAATCACTTGCTAAACGGGACTAGTTTCGAGGGCACAGT